GATGCACAGGTCCCAGGTGCAGGCCGCCACCTCCGGGTCGGCACCAGGACTGCCTTCGGTGCTCATAGGGAATGGCTGGGCCCACGGAAGGTCGGCCTCGGATGTGGCCTGGGACCGCGGCTCTGCTGGCTGCTGTGTGGATGCTTTTCCTGGAGCACTTTCCAAAGCATCCCCCAGCCCCGCGCCTGGGCGCGTCCGTCACTCAGGGGCTTTCTATGGTGTTTGTAGGGGAAGGCCCTGGCTTTGTATACCCCACAAGGAGCACTGAGTTTCTTAGGAAATTCGTCTTCAGTATTAGGTCTTGAACTCTTGTAAAAAGTTTACGTGTAGGATAAAAACCTTTTAGAGGACACGCAGGCGGTACCCCTAAGGTTTTGCTAATGAGCCATTCAGACCGACAGCAGTGTGAAGGTGTGTCAAGGTGTATATTCTCGTGGCTCGGCATTCTCAGTGCACAGGGCTGTTTGGAGACTCGGTGGGAATTGTTTTTCATCTGTTTCTATGGTTGTCAAACGAATTCTTCACCCACCCTGCAGTTTGTGAACTCCTTGAAGCTATCAAATTAGTAAGAGAGGCTGCCCACACCCAGGAGGCACCATCGCCCACTTATTATTTGGTTCTGCGGATACTCATGGAACATCGATCACATCCAGCATTGTCCTAGTGCTTTGGGTTGGACGGGAATGGGACTCTGCAGCCAAGGCGGGATAAGAAAATCTTACAATCCCGTCCTGCAGTGATAGAAACAGGTCGTTCTGCATTATAAGCCATTGGTGGAGCATTCGGTAGCCTATTCAGACTACATGGGCCGGCCTAGGAGTCTTTGTCTTCATAAATTTTAAGAACCCCTTTGCATGATTAGTTCAGGGATGTGTGGGTTTCTGGGGCAATGGAGAACGGATCAGGCCTGTCCTGGAGACAGTGTGACCAGAAAAGGGAACGTGGTACTCACTGGATGCACCCAGGCCGGCCCGAACCTCCCACCACAGACAGTGCGGGACAGAGTGAACCTGAGCCGCCCAAGGCGATGCCCTTTGTGCTGTACGACTGGAGGCCTCTCCACGTGGGTACTTGGGGGTGGAGCCACAAATCTGGCGAGAAGCTTCACACCGGCCGCCGTGGAGTTTCTCTTCTCCAGCGTTCCAGCCGTTGTCATGGCGGGTCTTCGTCTTAAACTGAGAAGAAGAGCATTCCTGTTTGATCACCGCCTTAGCTACCAGTTCTGGATCAGTCAGTGTTTCTGCATGGAATAACAACCATTAAAAAACAAGTATTAGGCTCTGCCCTTTCATCTTTGTAAGCGATTCTTGCCTCTAGCAATGACGTCTGGTGATGTCTCACAGTAGAGCACTGAGCGCAGCATCAGGTCCCCACGGCCGTTGCTCAATAAAAGTGGTGGAATAAAGTGCATCCCTGTCTTCACACGACCCTTTTCTTATGGGGCGGAAACACCAAGATGGGCGCATCCCGTGTGGATGGAGAGGGGTGGCTCTCGTCTTGCCATGTCCCGGGTGGGTTGGCAGCGCTGTGCTTGCCAGGGAGCCACACCTTGCCATCTCTTCCCCAGGTCTCCTGGGGCCGACTTCAGCAACCCCATTATGTGGACTTTTCTTGGGGGAGATAGACGCCGTTCACGGGACCAGGTGACTGGGATTTTGGATCCTCCCCCGTCCCCCCTTTACGCAGGACTGTGACTGTAGACAGGTTTGTCTGCTTCTCTACTCTGAGTTGTTCTGGAAAGCTGCAAAACCGGGATAACGGGTCAGACTTGGAGCACTGAAGAGGTCTTGATGACCAACCACTGAGCCAAACGCCTCACCTCAGGGGGATGAGATGGGTCCCCACGTGCCTCAGGTTTTTTATTTATTTATTTATTTTTTTGAGATGGAGTCTGGCTCTGTCGCCCAGGCTGGAGTGCAGTGGCGCAATCTCGGCTCACTGCAAGCTCCATCTCCCGGGTTCACGCCATTCTCCTGCCTCAGCCTCCTGAGTAGCTGGGACTACAGGTGCCCGCCACCACGCCCGGCTAATTTTTTTTTTTTTCTGTATTTTTAGTAGAGACGGGGTTTCACCGCGTTAGCCAGGATGGTCTCAATCTCCTGACCTCGTGATCCACCCATCTTGGCTTCCTAAAGTGCTGGGATTACAGGTGTGAGCCCCCACGCCCGGCCGCCTCAGGTTTTTATGAGGTTGAAATTAAATGATTGAAAGATGCCTTGGCTGGGTGGGGTGGCTTACGTCTGTAATCTCAGAAATTTGGGGAGCCAAGGTAGGCAGATCACTTGAGGCCAGGAGTTTGAGATCAGCCTGGCCAAGATGGTGAAACCCTGTCTCTACTAAAAATACAAAAATAAGCCAGGCATGGGGGTGCACGCTTGTAATCCCAGCTACTCAGCAGGCCGAGGCAGGAGAATCACTTGAACTCAGAGACGGAGGTTGCAGTGAGCCGAGATCGCACCACTGCACTCCGGCCTGGGAGACAGAGTGAGACTCTGTCCCCACAAAAAAGAAAAAAAAAGATG